CCCCCCCCCCCCCCCCCAACCATACCTATATAGTAGGTGGATCCACCTTTGATTTTAACACAGTGTTAGCGATAATTGTATTCGGGCCAGTTGTTCGAAAGCCAATTAGCTTAACCCAAGGTTAACCTAAAATTCAAGGCAAACTTCAGACAGCTTGTTTATAAATTTGGAAACGTTTCTTCAGAAATCCTTTCTGGATCGATATACAGTACGAGTTTACTTCTCTGAAGTTTTGAAATAAACAGACGTGCAGAAATACACAAACCAAAACAGCGGCTTAAATTTTAACCGAGGGTTAGCGCTAAACAACCTTTGAACAACCAGCCCCTGAACAAGCAGCCTTGTAAAACTGCATTAGTGCATTGTTTACCATCTCATATGTCTGCATTGCCAGTTGCACTTTGTCATCAGACAATTCCTTTGCTTTGGCAAACGATTCTTCCATCTTCTTGAGTTTCTCTGTCTTTTCTACAGGAGATAGATTTCGTACGGACCCTGAGTACTTGTCGGCCATGTCATCAATCTCTTTAAGAAGGTCTACAGGCAAACAAACAGACTGTAATTATCACCTATGAATTCGAGCCTTTTCTACAAGATTGATTAAGCAGACTATCTTAATCCATTGAGCTCCAGCGCTCTCCCTTTGACAAGTTAAATTGTCTAGCATTAGACAGAGTAAAATTATAATAAAGTAGGGAACATTAATGCGCATTGCCACTTACATTAAATAGTTAACAGGATGCACTAGCAAATAGTCTGATTAATCCATTGAGTGGCACCACTCTAGTCTCTACCCTTGACACGAGCAAAATAATAAAGTAGGGCGCACCTGATCAGGGTTCATTGCCGCTCAAAGGATTAATCACTCTCATGAATTCAGACACCAACTATCATCAAGGTTGTGCAACACTCTCCCCTTGATGAGTAAAATTGTCTGGCATTAGACAGAACAAAATAATAAAGTAGGGCGCATTAGGGCATGATGCAATTGAATGGGTTAATAAGAGTACAATATCTCCTCGTATCCCTAGTGTTAACTCACAAGCAAAAGTGTGTCTTGATGCACCCTGTTTTGTCCCCCTGTTTTTTTTAATTGGTCTAACCCCAGACAATGTTACTCATCATATGTAGCAGGATGTTAGCCGTACTTTTACTGAATTTGGAAATTTGTTGCTTGAGCATCCATGGCTTAGCAGACGATTGCAAACCAAAACACAGGAGATTGAGCCCTCTCTTCCCGCCCCCACCCCCCCCCCCAAAAAAAAAAAATTAAAAATTAAGATTTCACCGAAATTCGGCCCTTATAAGGTCAAGACACACCCACCGGACGCGATTCGACAAGGCGACGTAATTTTTTTAGTTTCTGAAAGTTAATAAAACAGCCAATGAGAGCATATTTTAAAAGATATGTAGACCAAATAACTCAAAATGTTATAGCTCTTCTAAATATTTGGAAAATTTAAACTAGGATCACAGTTATCGGTCAGTGAAAATTGAAAAATCGCGTCGCCTTGTCGAATCGCGTCCGGTGTGTCTGGACTTTAGAGATTAACAATCTACAGACGCATTTTTGTCCATGCATGAAGTTAAAAACACACTCGACAGTCTCGTTAAATAAAGTCTTCATTCACAAACAGGCACAAAATAAAGCACACTATATTCAGTGGGTTAAGACCGAGAAAGCGCCCAAAATATAAATGGTGGGTCAATGGTCAACAACTTACAACTGGCTAAATTTGTAATATGAGAATACCGTCAATCGGTCCTGCTAAACACCGACCATGCAGGACCGACCGTGACTGTCTGTGAGAGCAAATGATCGTCTGTGATCGTAATTACCCCTGGAACTTTGTATTAAACGTTATACTTTTACGTTTTTAACGGCAGACGATCTTGTCAAGCGAGAAAGATCGTTTGTCTTCCGCCACAACTAGTGTCATGTCTTACCGTTACTTATGTTTGGCATGTAAGGAAATGAAACTGTATATTGTCGTACTGGCGGTATAGGTTTCGCAGACATACTTTTATTTTTCAGTAGAAATATTTCATGCACATTGTGCGAAAAGAGTTTGGTTTACATGTACAGTGGGGGTCAAAAGTCTGTGTCCAGTCAATATTATCTTGCCTTTTATTGATATACAATACATTTTTACACAACACACCGCCACTATATGTGCAACGAATAACATCAACGTTGGAATTGATTATACTATATTAGCCAAGTGAACATTATTTTAATATTTTGTGTGCCTCTTTTTTTATTTTAAAACGGTTTAACTATTCCTGGCATACATGTAAATTCAACAAGTTTTGATGGTATTTCTTAGTATTGATGGTTTTTCTTATAGTACGTATTGATGTTTAAGGTTATTCCAGCATTATTGATTAACGACATCCCATTGGTTGGTTGCCTTTACTTGTGGGATTATGTTTCACTTTCTCTCGTTTCAAATGTTCCCATAAATTCTCAATATAGGATTTAGGTCTGGCTGGAGGTTCAGGAGGAAATCCATAACAACCAGATCACCTTTCTCTTGATCTCTAATTAATGAAAAATTTCTACGAAACAAAAATATTACTCCATCCTTACCTTCAAAGACAAGCCATACCATCTAGCTTAATGTTGTGTGGAAGGGGATTTGTCTTGCAACTGGACAACGATCTGAAACACACTTCTCACATGTGTAAAAATTATTTAAGAAGGAAGAAAGAGAAAGGTGATCTGGTTGTTATGGATTTTCCTCCTCAATTTCAGGACAAAAACCCTATTGAGAATTTATGGGATCATTTGAAACGAGAGAAAGTGAAACATGATCCCACAAGTAAAGACAACCTATGGGATGCCCTTAATCAATGCTGGAATAATCCAGCAGTACTTCGAAGACGAGCGACGAAGGAGAGAGGTACACGCAAAAAACAGAGGTCTGATATTTCACAGTACAGACCGAACAAGCGAGGTCAATAATCGGTTTATTATATGGCTGAACTGAGTCTGTGACCATATGCTTTTCGCGCGAGTTAAATCGGCTATCGTCAGTTTCACTGGGTAACAATATACGGTAGGCATGCATGCTCAATCAAAAACAATTTGGTTGTTTGAAATTTTTATCTGTAAAGCACAATTGGAAATTTAAAAAGCAAAAATTTTTCTGTTTGCAAAGCAAAAATTTCCCGCCAGATAAACGACATCCGGGACACCGGTCCAGATACGGAAAATACGGACCACGGTCCGGATATGGGTTTTTACGGACCGCTTGTCAACCAATCAGAATAGAGAATTTTGAAAAGCCATGTAATAATATCTCGTATAAACTCTTGTTGTGTATAGATGTGTTTATGCAATAAAAATAGTTAACTTCTAGCACGAGTTGTGTTGTGGGTCGTTATAATATGTAAATTATGCATTTATGCAGGGTTCAATTTCATTGACCAATCAGAAGCAGTCTGTTGTCAGCGGGCGGGAGTTTGCCATTTGCTGTACTCACGGGCTGTGCTCACTTGCATACTGCTTCTCACACTGTGAACTCGATTTTGGTTTTCTATTTTTGTTTTTCTGGGGATTCTTGTGTTTCGTTTGGGTTTTGGCTTCTATCTTGGATGCCTCGGCTCACTAATAATAGTCTGTCCAGTTGTTCTGGAACGGATTTATCGCTTTCGCCAGTCCATAGCGATGTTATTTCGTCGGCTTCTACATCAATTGCATCAGCGGGTTTGGTTTCGTCATTGTCGGGTTTAACTTCGCCAACTTCGTCGCTTCTCCCTGTTGTGCTGCCTTCAGTGTCGTCGGCCTCCAGTGCTTTGCCATCGCCGGTGGTGACAAGTCTTGGGACGACTTCGTGGTCTGCTTCCGTGCCGTCTGCTTCACCAAGTTTAGCGTCTCGTACATGGCTTCCCGTCCCGTACCTGCCACAGAATCCTTGGCCTACGTCTAGTGTCGTTCCCACCATCGCAAGTCCGTCAATAAATCCGGGCGTTTTGTCGAAATTTACATTTCCTTGTTCTTCGACATCGGCCAATTTTCAGCCGCCATTTTGTTCCCTTCCAGTCTCCTCCGGTGGCGCCCGTCCTGCTCCGTCCTTAAATCCCATCCTCCAGCAGGCGTCTACTTCCCAACATTCCATCCTTCAGCAAGCGTCCACTTCCCTGGATCCCATCCTCCAGCAGACGTCCATTTCCCCGGATCCCATCCTCCAGGAGGCGATTTCCCAAGCTCAAGCCCAGGCACAGGCTACCCTCCAGGCACAAGCTTTGCTGCAAGCTCATGCTCAGGCACATTCGAATGCTGTCGCTCAGGTGCACGCCCGTGGTCAAGAGTTGGCATCTGCTTCAAGGCTTCCTGCTGGCCCGGTTTTGCCGTCTGATGCACCGTTGTCGCTTCAACAGCTGCCACATACTCCGCCAGCTGCAGGTTTGGCTGCCCCAGGTATGTTGTTGCCTTTAGCTCATACGCAACTTGCCGCTTTTGTGGTTGGCCCTGGGTTTCTCCCGGTGGTAAGACGGTGACGAACATTATTTCTGGTCTATATATTGCCTTGGCCACACTGTTAGCAAAACCGTCTGACATGCGGTCGCCTTCGCCCTTAATTTACATTGATGGGCAGGTAGTGGTCTCTCAAGCTTCCAAGCCGGCCCGGCGCCTGACCGATATTTCTCAGTAGCTGCAGGCGTTTGCAATATATATGCTTACATATATAGTTTGCAATATATATGCTTATTACAGGCGTTTGCAATATATATGCTTATATATTGGGAAAATTTAGAGATAAGACAACGTACAACTAAATCCACATTAATGTATAAAGTCCTGAATGATTGCGCTGGGCCGAACTTGAAGGATGCTCTAACGAGAAGGGACCTTGTTCAAACCAGTTATAATCTTCGCAATACTTATACTGACCTTACCCTTGCTAAGCCAAAACGAGAATTTCTAAAAAAAAAGCTTTAAGTATAGCGGAGCTAAATTGTGGAATAGTCTTCCTTCTGATGCGAAGCTAGCGCAATCAATTTATTCTTTTAAAAACTGCCTGAAAGTTTCACGCTAACATCTTCTAATATACTGTATATGCATGCTTTAGAAATATGGGTCACACCGTTTGGAACTTAATTCTTGTATTGTAAATAGTTGTATATAATTCTTTATTCTTTTCTATATCATATTTGTAATTTTTAATAGTAACAGATTATTGTATTGTATTGTATTGTATTGTATTGTGCGTCACTGGTGCGCCTCTGTCGCCGTCTCTGGTTCATGCTTGGCTCCGCTTCATTCTCAAGGCTGCAGGTGTTCCTGGGAATTATTCTAGCCACAGTTTTCGTATTGGTGCGGCTACTTCGGCCGCTCTGGCGGGTGTTCCGGACAATGTTATCTAGATTTTGGGTCGTTGGTCCAGTGATTGCTACTTGCGCTATATTCGGACGCCTCCCCACATCATTCTCCAACTGCTCGTCACTTTGTTTGAGACTTGTTTGGGGTTGGGGAACGCCTTTGGAGTGGGTTCGTGCCTCGAATCCCCTTCTCCAGCTGCGCTGGAGGGTGGCGTGGAGAGGCTAATTCTCGGCATCATTGATATCAGTCAAGTCGGGATGCTGGGATGGCTGAAAGTCTCTTCTACCGAGAAGACAGCTGCGCAGAATGGAGTTCATCGTAAGCCGGCTTGCCGAGTAAACTAAGCAGCCGGAACCTCTCCAACAGAGCTACACCCTCCAAAGAATTGCTTGCTTAAGCTCGAGTGCGTTAGATGTTAAATGTGTTTATGCAATAAAAATAGTTCACTTCTAGCACGAGTTGTGTTGTGGGTCGTTATAATATGTAAATTATGCATTTATGCAGGGTTCAATTTCATTGACCAATCAGAAGCAGTCTGTTGTC